TGCTATTTGGTTGTGACGTATGTAATGCGCCAAATCCCTTAGGAAGAAGGGCAATAATGTCTTTCTCCTTGATAAAATTCACCAAACATTCTTTTTGTTCCGGCTTTAAATCCTCGATCTTGGGAATCGTTGCCAACATAGAATATCTGTCTTCGTCTACACCCATCTCAACCACTGTTTACATTGTTTTCTTCATTATTTGTCTCCAAATCCACAATGAAAGCGCCTGTCTGGGTCCCTTTTCTGGACCCAGACAGGCGCTTGAGTTTGAAGTCAAGGCTTTATAGCTCTTCTGTGATTGGCCGGTGCACGGTCTACAACTTCCAGAGTTCTTGCAAACCGTCTAGTTTATTCCGATTCCTGACATAGTCGCTGGAGAGAAATGAAATTGAGCGGAAACACTAGGTGGCCCCCGCTTGTCTAGTATTTACGACTGTTGAGTGTAAAATTAATGAATAATGAACTATTCTAAAGTGTGTACATGACAGATTTTTATGATTCTCTGATTTTATTTAATTTGGTGGGATTATACAATTATACAAGCTTTACACCAATCAAGAAGCAATTTTGTGAAGACAAGATGAAAAATATGTTGAAAATGACAGATAGTAGGGAGTTGTAATACACACTGATGGCACTATGGAGATTTCTATCCAATAATGGCACAATTTACATATAAGAACCTTTTAATTTATTTATTTAAAAGGTCCATACTAGACTATTTTTCTGATTGATGTTCTGCAGTTGTTTCCTCTTCAAAACATATCTGGAGTTTAGTTTTGTTTAAACCCTATCATACTGAAAAAACTCTGTCCCAACTTGTGAGGGTGTCTGGTTATACAAGTCCTCCACTGTGTTTTTAGATTACATACATTTTAATGACATCAGAAGGTGGAATTGAGCATTTTAAGCTTTGGAGATGTAGAGAGATTAATGATAAAGGGTTACTCAAACATGTGAATGAAACAAAACACAACTCCAGGTATGTTCTTGATGAGGTAACAACATTATAACATGACGTAAAACTCACTAGAATTTGGCAAAGATAATATGAATTTCCATTTAGAGACAAGATGTGATTCTTTATGCATTTTAAAGACATTGATGGCTTAAATTTATGCTTTACTCTTTGCTATTCCACATCCTAAACACACGGACCTGTCAGACAAGCGCTCATTTGAGCTGGCAGGTGGCCATTGGGAACATCAAACACAAGAATTAGAAAGCTTTTAAAGGCAAAAACACAATTTACGTACGTGCTAATGATTATAATCTGGTGACATTTTTCTTCATAAATGTTGGACTGGTAAGACTTGGTAAGAGTGCATGTAAGAGCCGTTCTAATATTAGGGTGAGCTGGCGGGGAGGTGTTCAGACACTGCGGTGGAGGCTATAGAAATGCATTGTGAGACCACTTAAGGTGCAAATGTCCAAGGTCAGTGTACAGGGTAAAGTTCGCATATGGCTGCTGTGCGGTGGTGGGGGTGACGTTCAAAGCAACGGGGAAATACAAAAGACTAGAGAGGACATGCTGTTCAATGTTCAGTTTACAGACTTTTCTTGATGGACTGAAGTGTGGAAAAATTTACCAGAGAATAATATTAAGGTATGTGGTCTTATGTTATGTTGCTTATAGTGCGTTTAATTAATTAGGATGCAAAAATTCTTTAAAAAATTGTTACTAATGATATTTTTTAGACAGAAAAATCCTACATTTGTCTGATACCTGAAAATTTTAAAGTCAAATGCGTGTTAAAATGCTGTAAAGTTATTTAAAGAGGGTGAATTTTTAGTTTTCTTCCATGTTACAATTCTGTTTGCTCATCAAAAACCTGCCAGAAAAGCTTTTAGGTGTCATCCATGCATGTTTAGGTAATTCAGTGATCTATCCTGGGCCCTATTCGAACTCTTCTTGCAGTTAGCTGTAAGAATCTGTCCAAAGCTCCGCCTACAAACCTACGGCATCCATGCTCGATGATTCTCCATAAATATACAACAAATGATACAAAACTGTACACATCAACTTAATAATCCTGATGAATCAGTGTATTATTTGTTCATTTGTTTTTCAAAATAAAACCAAAAATAAGAAAAAGAAAAAACAACTTTTTTCTTCATTATTTGTCTCCAAAACCAAAATGAAAAAACAGATAATGATTATGTTTTTTTCAGTTTTCTATTTTGTGTTTAAATGAATAATGGAAAAAACAGATAATGGCCGTTTTCTGTTTCTGTGACATAAATTGTGATGCCGGACTTTTGCGCCACATATGGACTGAACCAGGACTGAACCAGGTCTAAACCAGGACTGAACCAGAACTAAACCAGGACTGAACCAGAACTAAACCAGGACTGAACCAGGACTGATCCCAACACTGAACCAGGAACACTAAAACACGACTAAACCAGCACTAAACCAGGACTGAACTAGGACTGACTCTCTCTCTCTCTCAAGTCCAAAATTAGTCCTAATTTAGACCTGGCTTAGTTCTGATTTAGACCTGGTTTAGTTCTGGTTTAGACCTGGTTTAGTGCTGGTTTAGACATGGTTTAGTCCTGGTTCAGTCCATAAGCGGCGCAAAAGTCCAGCATCGCAGTTTAAGTCACGGAAACGGGAAACGGCTGTTATCAATTTTTTCCATCATTCATTTAACTGTCAGGAGCAGTGGGCACTTTTCTCAAAATCTTTGGCTAGGATTAGCGAAAGGATTGTACTTATTGTCCATTTGCTTGTTATTGGTTTTATTTTGTTTTTTAATTCAAGCATTTTCATTTTTAAAATAAATGAATGGCCCTATATTACGCAAAATTGACTCTTATAATGTTGTTACCTCCTCAAAAACGACAAACAACAATATAACATTGATCAGAAAATAGTGTAAAATGGGCCCTTTAAACAAAACAGTTCAAGGTTCATGGTTGAGGTTCAAATTAACACACAAATCCAGGTAGTTTGGCAGGTATATCACCATCCCTTTACAGCATATTCTGTAAAATATATTCAAGATTCACAAAAATCTATTGAAAAAAACTGAAAATGTAAATATATTCCGCCATATTCAATTCTCACTCCTCTAGTCGATCATTACAGCACTCACACTCCTCTAAACCATTACAGCTTTTCCATCAAAAACATGTCACTCATTTAGACAGTGTCACAGGAGTCCATGTTATAGTCTTATGATGTATTTTATAAAGCCCGAGGATGAAACTCTTCAATAATGAACTCATCACTGTAATTGCACACTATGGGAATGAAGATATGATTACACTGACAACACACACACAGGTTAAACGAGTGTGTGTGAGAGAACGAGAGAGAGGATTATACATTTTTCTACTGATAGAGCGTGTGTATGTAATTTATTTCAGTATTCGTGAAGTTGTATTCAGTAGGAATGTAACAATAACCAAAATACTGTAATATTGTATCGTCAAAAGTCTCACAATAATATCGTAGACTGTCACAATATATCAAATTACAACTTCCTTTGTTTAAATGCATGGTTTTATAGTACCAACAGTTTATAAACATCAGGAACTACATATCCCATGATTCATTTCAGCACAAAAACACAAAGAGATATGTTATAGACTTGAATTCTTACTTATTTATTCTTGTAGGACAGTAATGATTCACACCAAAATCTTGTTAAGGTATTTTAAAAGCAAAAAACTGTCAAGTGACAATCTACAATTATATTAACCTCTTCAAAATATCGCAGTAAATATCGTATCATGAGACACATATCGTGATAATATTGTACCGAGAGATTTTTTTACATCCGTATTCAGTAAATTCAAGAAATGTGTTTTTATGACTTTGAAGTCAATATATTTCCATTTTCAAAAAGTTGAATTTAGCAAATTTCAGTTTTCATGAAGCTGAATTATGTAAATTTTAATTTTCATTAAGTTTAATTCAATACATTTCTGTTTTCTTAAAGTGAATTCAACACATTTCTGTTTTTATGAAGTTTCATTCAGTAAAACTCTGTCTGTGTTGTTCGTCTAAAACTAATTGCTCAGCCGTCTGGTCCATTATGTAAAAGTTCAAACCTGATTGATTCTCAAATAATCTTCCCAACATATTGTTTAAAAATACTAAATGAAAAAGCTATTTAATGTCCTAGACTTGAGACTTTTTGACGTTCAGTGAGATGATGCACTTAGTGTTGTTCTTGGCAAACACACAAGCTCTTGTCTGGTCCCATTTCTCAACATGGTCCATTTTCCTAATGGCCAATCTGCATCAGAGAATCACTTTTATATAGGAGCCTTGTTGACATCCATCAGGAGCAAAAGCAAATCTGCATATCAGTCAATTAGGAGTATTGGATGAGTACTCAAAAACTCTACTACTACAGTACACTACTACTACCACTACTATGAGTTATTGCTACTGGTTATTACTAATATTAAGCTTCTATTACTACTAGAACTGGCTATGGTTAAAAGGGATCAAAAATGACTGTACTACCACTACCAAGTAATTTAGGCATAAAACTGATACAAAAAAAAAAATCCTTTTGATAATAAATTTTGAGGTCTGATGGGTACACCACGATAGTTTCACCTTCTCCACAGTTTAATGATTAAAAGCAGTTGTTATTCAAAGATAATTATGAACTTGCATTGTCCATGTTATTTTTTAAAGAAATTACTAAAAAGTACTAGTTCAGGTACTTTTACCAGTACTGAAAAACAGGTATCATTCGAGTACTGGTACCCAGAATTTTATGGAAAGATATATAGCAGTAAATACTACAAATACTATACTTCTGATAACGCTATTAACCCTGTCCATGCATTCATGCTTTCATCTATAATTACTATCACAAGTACTTGCTCATAAAAATATGCAGTAACTACACCACAACTGCTTTAGCATTTTTTGCGTAATAAATTGACATTCAAAGTTTTTATAAAGGTACAAAAACCATAACACTATGTCTTCACTGAACACCACAAGAAAGAAAAGGATGATAGATCTTTTGTACCTGTTTGAGGTCCAGGGTGATGGTCACGTAGTGGTACTCCATGCCGTTCATTATGGAGGGACTCTGCCACCAGCGGTTTGTTCCGTCTATGGCGTATTCTACAGGATGTCTCTCTGTATGAAGGAGAATCAAAAACACTTCTCAGAACATCTTTCCAAGAATTAAATCAATTCTGTAATAAACACAATAAGTACAGAGAAACGAACATGAAGGCTAAAGGGAAATAAGAGAAAACAGAAGAGTGTGTGTGTGTGTGTGCGTGTGTAGGTATGAACTGAGATGAGATATGGAAGTCTGATTGGCGGCTGTCACTCAAGTGCGCACTTATTGTGGACATTTTCATTGAAAACCATGGCAACTATCAGCGTCAGAAAAAGAGCTGTATTCCTCTGATAAAACGTCCACTCTCCTTTCAAAATAAATGTAAGGGGGTGGAGAATGGTCTTAAAATGACTCTAGTTTTTCAGGTTTGCACTTCTGAAAACCGCTTTTACTTTCTTTTTTTTTTTTAACAGGAAATTCTACACAACAACACAACCATTCTCTGAAAAACTGCAAAAGTGAACAATGAATTATTTATCAGCAAGGTCATAGATTAGTCTTTCCTCAATGCACTCAAGCAAAATACTAGTTTGGAAAATGAATCTACTACACCTCAAACTGTGAATTAGGAAGCTGTCAGCATGTAAAGTAAGAGCCCTTTAATGTGTGAAAACAATATAAAAAGAAAAATCCATCAACGTGTCAGAAATTAAATCAGTCAGCTAATTAACCTCAGTTAGTCACGGCAAATTAGGCCAGTCACTCACACTGTGCTGGGCTCCCATTCACGTACACTGGTCTGTCACAATGCACTATCCATCACTGTGCTCCGTTTGTTTTCATAAGCAAATTATTTATTTTTTCTACCGTGATGTTGAGTTTATTTCACTGTACCTGTATTGAGGCTGTTGATTTTTTTATATATAGGTTCATTTTTCTACATACAATGATCCACTCCTTTAAAAACTGACTTTTCCCATTTATTTCGCATATTTCTATAAGCTTGAACAAATCGAATTACAAATAAACTAAATTGCTGCAGTACCTATGGAGTGGCCACTAGGCAGGGTGTCTTTTACAGTTCTTACTATAGATCTGTGGTTATAAGTCTCATGTGGAAGCTCAGAACCTCCAGAATTCCCCTCCCTGAGCTGCAAAGGCTGCACTAGCACTGATTCATGACTGGCTGCAAGTACTAAGGGTTTAGGTAGTGACCAATCAACTCAGAGGGAGGCATTTTCGGTTTCAACCAACTGGATTTAGACATTGGAACTTTGATTTGAAGGGAAAAAAGATAAGTCACGTTTATGAAATTTGGGTTCACGATTGCACCACATCAAAACTGGGACTAAACCTGAAACAAAACCTGGACTATGTTATCAGGTTCTTTTTTCAGACCTAGAGTTTTGTTTCATACTTGACAGTTTTGACTGCTTACTAGCGTCTTCCTCAGAGTGGTCACGTGATGTTGCTGTGACGTACCCGGTCAAGCTGATTTAAAAACAGGTTTTGGCGCTGGCTTCCTACCGGTGGAGACAAGACGACAGCGCCATCTGCAGTCCGACTTCCTCAGGACAGTATCCCGGGTGTGTGAGAGTAAAAAAGGAAGGAGGTAGGAAGACAGCGCCAAAACCTGTTTAAATCAGCTGACCAGACACGTCACAGCAACATCACGTGACCACTATGAGGAAGACCACTAATGAGCAGTCGAAACTGTCAGGTTTGAAACAAAACTCTAGGTCTGAAAAAAGAACCTGATAACATAAAATATCGGAAGACCAAATTAATCTCATTGGACTAAAACTTGGACTAGATTAGTACTAAAGAACTACGATAAAACCAAGTCCACATCAGAACTAAAATGGGCTATATTTAGGAACAAAAAATGTTTTAATAATCTTTTAAAAACAATTATGTCATATGTACGTACAGTCGTCCCTCACTGCGATTCACCTTTCACGGTCTCGCTGTTTTGCAGATTTTTTTGTGCAATTCTGAATGCTTTTTTTGGTATGAACACGCATTGTGTTTCTCCTCCTGCGTCCTGATTGGCTAAGGGACTGTAGACCATTATCAATCAATCAATCAGTACAGAATGTGTTCAGCTGCCAAATTTATATTATAAATGTTCAATCTCTAGCAGTGTGATTCTGAAGTGCTGTATGTTTGCAAGTTTTCTCCCCAACAAAACCCACAATGTTGGCGAAACGTTCTGCACCGACAAAGGCTCCTGTGGTTGCGCCCAAAAGGCAGAGGAAGATGCAAACCACCGCTCAAAAAGTTCTGGACACACTGAAGGAAGGTAGAAATTACACGGCTTTAGGGCGCCATTATGGAATAAATTAATGTTTGGTTTGTTACATAAAGAAGGAGGAAAATAACGTCAGGACAACAGCAGCGATAAGTTTTAAGAAGGATGCAAAAAGGATTGTAACTGTCCTGTCTGAGAAAAGCGTATGAAGTGTGTGGTGAGGGGTTTTACAGACTTAAAACTGATATAATAATTGTAAAAAATAAAGCTGACTACTTCACAGATTTCGCCTACTTTGGGTTATTTTTAGAACGTAACCCCCCCGATAAACGAGGGACCACTGTATTGAGAAAAATTTAGAGATATGAACAAAAACTAAAACTAAATGGGCATGCACTGTCTAAATAAAAAAAAAGGTCCTATTGGTCAAAAGAAAAAAAAAAAAAAAAAAGGTTAACCCTGTAGTATTGTTCAACCTAACCCTTTTCACTCTCCTTTCTAAACCTACAACAAACTGAGTAAGCACAGGCTAATGAATTGGGCCCCTGGCTGACTCCTCTCTCCTGGTTAGTGCTCTGGGGCCTAAGAGCAGGATTAGTGCACACACACACACACACACGCACACACACACACACACACACACACACACACACTGTAGATAGGATGTGTGTGTGTGTCTAGTTGACTACTTGAGTTATAACTTGGGACTGATGTCTTTATTGTGCCGGCGTCAGGTTGCGATTGATTGGTCGGCTGGATGCGCAATTATCGTTTCTGACAAAGTGATTGGTTAACATCTGGCCAATTGAGCAGTAATTAGCTAAAGAGCCATGATTCATGAACGGGATCGCTGGAGTTATCCGTCAAAGGGAAGTACGGAGAGAAGGAGCACATCTTAGAGAAAACTGGTGAACAGAAGATTTTGGCTTGGTTTTGCAGTTTATAACTCTGATTACATTTTAAAGGTGATATATTATACAAAACTGAAACTTGTGAAATATTGTTACCTCGTCAAAAACATGCCCAGAGTTGTGTTTTGTTTCATTCACACATGTTTGAGTAACCCTTTGTTATTAGTCTGTCTACAAAACAGTTACATTTTACCTTTAGTTCACTAGAGATTTGCAATTTGAGATCTGAAATCATCCAGATTATTCTAGTGAAGGTGTATGGAGTTTTAAAACACAGTGGAGCACTTCCTTTATTCTAAGTCTTTTCATTTTGGGAGATAAACTAAATACTAAATACTCAAGGTTTCTGTATTAAACATGTGTGAAACAAAACACAACTTCAAATTCAATGTACAGTATTTTTCGGACTACAAGTCGCACTTTTTCTCATGGTTTGGGTGGTTCTGCGACTTATACTCTGGTGTGACTTGTATTTTAAAATTTTCACACTGACAGCCGACAGAGGGCGCTCTAGTCTTGTGTGTCAGTATCTGCTCCTATTACTTCTGTACCACTGTCACTTGGCTCTACTGTGCATGTCTCTTGCAGAAAGAGCCTCTGTCCTGTCTGTATCATGTCAGTCGATCGCACCATTACTTCTGTACCACTGAAAATTTTAAATTTAAACAAACATGAAGACAACTGAGAAGACTGAACACAAATGCCCCCCATAAGAAATTTATATTTTACAGATTACAAGCTGCAAGTAGTGAAATTTGCAGCCAAAAACAGTAATCAAGCAGCAGAAAGAAAGTTTGGAGTGAGTGAGAAACTTCTGACAACCGGAAGGATTCACCATGCAACTTTCCTGGACGTCACTGGATGGATCAACAAAGCCTGGACTTCAGTGACACTGAAACCATCCTGTCGGGATTCAGAAAGACCGGAATAATTCTAACTGGAACTGATGCTGAATCTGACAACAGCTACACAGAAGAGGATGCAGCACACTGTTTACCTCCGGAGGTCGTGGAGTTGCTCAAAAGTGACACAGAGGAAGAAGAATTGAATGGATTTAGTGATTTGGAGTGAGATGGAGAGTTTGTTAAACTTGTTCTGTTCTGTTGTTTATGCTATAGTTTATCTGAAGAACTGTTCTTCATTACGCATTTTTTGGTAGATGTGATTTATACTCCAAAGCGACTTATAGTCCAAAAAATACAGTATTCATTTTAGCAATATTCAAATAAAAGAATACTCTCTATATTAACATGAGTAGTAGTTGATGTCTCACCGTTTGGTTTGGTGCTCTGTTGGTTGCAGACTCGACACTGGGAGTTCCTCACTGGTTGTCCCGGGACGTGGTCCACCAGTTTACAGTGCATCTCAGGCCCTTCCGCTCCGCATGTGGCATTAGCTGTGATGTCCGCCATGGTGGCCAGGTTTAAGACAGCAGGGAACAAGCCTGAAAACAGAGAAGATACATGTTAGATCTATGGACTGGAGAGTGAAATGGTCGCAGGTTTTACATTCTTAAGCAGCTTCAGTTATACGATAGTAGGATAATTGTATTGCATTAATTAATTGTAAAGCATAACAAATTTCTTTAATTCTTAATGGCTTTTTTTGTTTTTTTCACTCAAAAAACTCCAGGTCCCTCGCTCAATCTTGGTTACGAATTTATATCGGGCGACGGGAGGCGTGGTCAGTCTGAGCGACCTGCCAGATCCATCAGGCTGACCACGCCTACAGGAAGTAACAACAGCGGATATACGACACGTCACCACCAACACCGGTGACAGTTCTGAAGATGGCTTGCAGCTAGCAGCCGAAACATGTCAACAAGGTAAACACACTTTACTGCATTGTCTTTAAAAAGAACCCAAGAAGTTAAATTATAAAGTCAACACCAAAGTTAAAGGCATCAGCTGTTCCCCAAGAAACACCTTCCACTGCAAAGAGACCAAGACGTGATGTTACTGTAAAACCACAAGAACAAGAAAGTGCGAGCTCGGCCTGTTTGTCTTCTGTACCTCTCGCTTAACAAACGGGATTTTACTTCGTTGGTGCACCACATACAAAATGTTCGTTGCAAACTCAGGATGATTTCTTAGGCAGTCAAAGGTTTCCTTTTCGTCCTTCTTGTGTATCATACTGCCCATTGCCTTCACCTTTCACTATTTTTCAGTTTGAACGGAGATTTGCAGTCACACAGATCTGATTCCCTTTGCATTTATGGAGTTCGCAAACCTCCGGAGCCTGTTTTCCGATGTTAGGACATCCAACAACCACACAATCAAAATATGACAATATCAGAACCAGAAACAAAAGCGATATGGATCTTGAAAATATCGGCTTTGACAATAGACGCATCCCACTGGGAAATCAAACATGGCGGTTTAATGCTCACTTTTTCAGAGAACCCTTCCCAGTATGCATTGCACGATGGCCGCAAATCGGAAATTCATGCATGTAGTCATGGTTTACTTGTGAAGACAGTAGCTCTCGTCTTGTAGGTATTTCTGTAAACAATTGCTTTATTTCAAAACGTCACTACTTTTACTACAGTACATTATTAACTATCAAGTCCAGGATTTACCACAAGTAAACATTGCCAGTAGAATCCAGGTGTTTTAGCCAAAGTGTGCTAGTATAATGTATTTCGGTCGCAAGCGGCGATGCAGGCCCAGGCACCATTTAACATCATTAGCCCTATAGTTGGCTGTGGGCTCATCTACTTAATCTTTTCGCGAGGTCTTCCTGGACTGGGCACGGCGTATTACCACTGTGTCATGGATTTTTTCATTTGCATTATGTTGTTGTAGCATTTTCTCTCCATTTCCTGGATATTTGTCAGTAGGTCTGCCAAAGTACACACTGTTAGAGGGAGCATAAATAATCAGAAGACACTATGGGACCAGGCCAAACAAGGAAAGATGACTCAGAAGTCCGAGGCTAATGTCTACATCTGTTTTAATACTGTGGAACATTCACAAAGCCCACTCCATGTTCCACTGAACCTTAGTCATACGAAAAGCGATATTAAATAAAAAGTTAAAGGTCCTATATTTCACAAAATGGACTCTTATGAGCTTTAAGTCATGTTATAATGTTGTTACCTCCTCAAAAACAAACCTGGAGTTGTGTTTTGTTTCATTTACACCCTTTATTATTAGTCTGTCTACATCTCAAAAGGTTAAAATGCTCTGTGATGTCATGAAGTTCTGGTTTTTTGGCTAACTTTTATCTTTAGTTCAGTAGAGATTGTCAATTTTTGGCCTGAAGGTGTAGGTGTATGGAGATTTCTCACACTCCAAGTATGTTTTTGACACAGAAAAAAACATTATAACATATGGTAGATCATAAAATAGTGTAATAAAGGGGATTTAAAGACTGCTTTTATGGAAACTTTTATATATACTTATAAATATAAAGCTGTTCCTTCATTAAATATATCTTGTGTTTTGTTTTAATCAATGCATACTTAAAGGTGCAGTTGGTTGGAGTTGGTCTGTTAGGTGGAGTTGTTCTTGGCCCTTCGACGAGCCAAGTAAGAGTTCATTTTCTCAGCGAAAGAACACATGTTTTTGTACCTGGATTTGGACTGTAGTCATTACTCATTTACTCCATAAAGTTGCAGTAAGACCCTCCAACCACCAATCACTCACCAACACACCACATTCATACTTAGACTTAGACAAACTTTATTGATCCACAAGGGAAATTATTTGGAAATTTCTATACTAAGCAATATCGGTAAAGTGTCTTGCCTAAGAACAGAGGAACACACATGTTTCTGTGAGTGTATGAGGCCACACTAGCACTGAGTCATGATGGCTGCAGGTGCTGGGGTTTAGGAAGTGACCAATCAGGTTTAAATCAACTGGATTTCAGCGTTGGGAGATTCATACGACTCATTCTGTTTTCTCACTAGATAATCTCTGTACGCCACAATAAACTCCTCAATAAAATAAGCAACAATTAAATTTTTATGACATTTTCTAATCTATGTATAAAGTTGTTTCCTCATCAAACACATACCAGGAGTTTTGTTTTCTTTCATTCACATAAAGTATCTCGCTCACAGATTTAACACAAAAACCTGCATATTTAGGCTGTGATTACATATAGCCAGGTATGTTGAGAAATGAAAATTTCCTTCCCTCTGTTTTCCGAAATAACATTGTGCACATAGGATTTCAGAAGTTTTTGTTTACATCAACCCGCATAAAAACGTTATTGAGTGCCATCATATCTACACCAAGCCTACGAGCAGCACCTGGATTAGATTCAAACCTCTAGCATTTATTTTATTACAGTTGTAAGTATTACTCTAAAATACCTTGAAAAACTTGCATTACTGAGTGGGCTCGCCTCTCCACAGATGTGGAGATGTGGCAAAATTATTGACCTCTGAGCCTCATTCGTCTCTGGTCATGGATATGATACAGCTGCTGTGTGTGCAAATGCAAACACACGAAAAGTGTTTGCACCAGATGCAACTGCTGCTCTGAATGCTTCATGATTATCATCATAGCAAAAGGTAAACACTGGTTGCACTTTTGGCGCGTCAGCTCCTAAAACTCTGTTTATCTCACTTTACATGCAAATGCGAAACCATAGTTTTCCAGAATCTCCACTCTAGTTGGAGTTTTTAGAAAGATTCATTTTCAGAGGCAAATTCGCCTTTTGCTAGTGAAAGATCGTTTGGATGATTTTACACTTGAAATTGCCAATCTCTACTGAACTAAAGGTAAAAGAAGCTGATAACTAGAAACTAACCACTTAATGACAGCACAATGTGGAACAGAGCATTTTGAGCTTTGTAGATATAGACACTAGACAGACTAATAAACCAGGATTACGGAAACGTGTAAATGAAACAAAACAAAACTCAGGGCTCAGTTCATGTTTTGAGAGAGGGAACAGCATTATAACATGGCTCAAAGCTCATAAGAATCCATTTTGTGTAATATTGGACCTTTAATTATAAACACTGTAGAAGACTGCCACTGGTGAAAAGTATTAATCCTATGAAATGAAATTGGTAGACTAGAAGCTATTATTCTTTTTTTCCAGCCAAACAAAATTCATAAGACAACTGGGATCACTAAGGAATGTCTTTATTTTCAAGCCCTGGTCAGACCCATTCACGTATACGCAACAAGCAGTGTACAATTCCCAAATCACCCCATAAAAACGCATTTTAACAAATCCTCTGGGCTCTATAAATGTCATCAACTTTTAGCCACTATACATTTTCTTCAACAAAACAGACAAATTGATAATCTCCGTCAACTTTTACAGCTTCCAGGCGTGAACTCGTCACTATGGTTCTCATAGTAAAACAACATTTGTCTCTGTCGCTGTGACAAGCTGGTTGAATTCATTGCAAGAATGCCTCGGATCCATATGGCTTACATTTCCTGTCTGGCAAAGCTCACAAACATATGCAAAGTGTTAAGTCAGTTGTTTAGACTAGACCAAACTATGGGCCATATGATTTTTCTAGTAACACAACTGGACATGTAAAAAACAAACATAAGGAGTAGTACAAGTATGCACTGCAAAATGTAGAGCTTTCTAGGAACTTGAATTCAGAATTTTGAGTAGTTTTGACAAAGTTGTATGAATTTATTAGATTTATTGCTAAACTTTGATTATTTTAAAGGACCCATGTTACACACATACACATGTTTTCTGATCTGCTTGTATGTTATAATGTTGTTTTATCATCAAAAACATACCTGGAGTTGGAGTGTTTTGTTTCATTCACACATGTTTGACACACAAACCTACATATTTAGGCTGAGTTCTTCTCACAAACAGAAAACACTTGTGACGTCATGTGGTGAACTTCATACACCTTCACTAGAATCATTTGGATCAGTTTAGCCCTGGGGTTGCCTATCTCTACTAAACAAAAGGTAAAAGGTAGTTGTCAACCTGATAACAAGGTGGAACAGAGCATTTTAAGCTTTGGATGTAAACAGACTAATAATAATAATAATATAGGATATCTCAAAACAAAACTCAGCGTTGGGCTTAAAGCTCATAAGACTCCATTTTGTGTAATATAAGACCTGTACAGTTAAGGTTAATCACTACTGTAGAGAAATCTAATGCTGCTGGGGTAACCTGTCAGGAGTAGTGGACCCATCTCCAGATCTTGAGTTAGTCTTGGTCAGGACTACATCAGCTGGAGGATTTGACCTGTTGTGCATGTTAACCCAGAACCTTCGTGCTTGAATTCGGAGTTTTGGGTAGTTCTGATCAGTTTTTTTATACTCAGTTATTATGAGTTTTATTATTAAATTTAGATTATTTTTATTATCAAAACTTTTTTTTATTATTTTTTGGTACTATTAATTGAGTAAGACTATGCCCCAGGGTTCCCACTCTTTTTCACTGAAAAAATTTAAAAACTTTTTTATGACCTAAAGGGAATTTTCCATGACCCTACAT